TTACTTGGAGCAGAAGTAGTAAATGATTTCATGTCTAAAGGGCCTATTGGTGTATATTATTAGCATAATTATGTTTAATATAGTTGCGAATAGCAGAGACTGGACAAGTGTTAATGATAGTTTGAACAAGTTGCTCGCAATCTTTTTTTGTTTTTTTAAACATAGCTTCTATCATAATTTTTCAGGCTTTATTTTATAAATTCTTGAAATCCACATACGCATTAAATGAATAGTGTAAAATAAAATTCTACACTCTTGTTCTCTAGCACTACTATCAGAGAAAGCTTTTTTTATAGCATTAGCTTCGAAACTGCTTTGATCAATTAAGATATACTGGAGAGTCCAATCACGACATTTCTATCAAGTTAATTGTAGTGCTATCATGATGGTTTTACTATCTTCAGTATATATAAAAAAATGTAAGCCATTTCTCAGCATCTATAGTTGTCTTAGATATACAAAGTAAAGAGCTTCCAACTATGTTTATTTGTCTTGTGTGTCGAATCTATTAATGTGAGCCAACTATAGTGTTGAATTTTTTCTATTTGGTGAGAATTCATAAAAATTATGCCTTCTATATGTTTTACTTAATTTGCATATTGTTGAGAAACATGATAATGTTTTATATAATACTTCTCACTTTTTAAATATAACAAGATCTCAGATATATCTGTTTCTAGACTTGCACTACCTACTAAATACACATTTATAAGCTTCTAGAGTTTATATTTTATGTTTGCTACCTTCCAACATCCTAGATATTCAATGCTATTATTTAGCCCTAAATCATTTTTTGCAAACTCTCTAACTGTATTAGTAATTGCTACTGGTGTATAATTATTAACAACCTCATTTGTAATCAAGGTATAAATAGTACTTGAGCATTTATTCATATCACTTTTACTTAAAGTATATATTTGATCTGGAGAATTTTTGAACCATTTAATTTAAATCATTTTAGATGAAACAGACCATGTTATTTTAATTTTGGCCTCACAAATACTAGCCAGTCAAATATTAGTTTTTCTTCTTTTATTGTCTAGTACACCATCCTGTTATGTACTTGAATTTTTATGCTTCATGAAATGGCAAATATATATTTTCTAGGAATCACCATTATTAAGCTTGTTTGAGCTGAATTGTATTCATATATTTGTAATCAAAAGCCACAAATTATTATTAAATACTTTATTTAAAACTTCAAAAGGATCATTTATATTAAAAAAGTGTGATTATATATTACTCTTTTTGTTTTCTTTGTCTATAACCTCCACAAAATAACATGCAAAAAAAAAAACTATATAGAGTTTTTCACATTAAAAAGGTCTATTTTGCAAATTTTTTGAAAAATGTGTTTTTATTAGAATCATGTAAATTTTAACATTACTGACATTTTTTAATTATAAATGAAAAGTGATTTGCATAATAAAAAATAGAGATAATTAAAAAAAAAATTTACAGTTATGCAAAAACTCTCTCCGCTAATCACTTGTATACAAATAAGCAGAAAACAAAAACAGCGAAACCTCATTCAAGGCTATAGAAAACGATCAACAAAGCCTTAAGAAAAAAGAAAAAACAACAAAAATAACAAATATCTAGCTTAGAAACAATCAAGATAGAGCTCACGGCAAAAGAAATATACAAGAAAAATGAAAATTTTGAAGAAATTTTTGAAAAAAGTAGGCGAACCATCTGACCCTAAACTATACTTGCTGGCAAAACCCGGACAAATTCCAAATAATAAAAAAACAATTGCTATCTATAAAAAATCAAATCAAATAAATAATCTTAATATTTTGCAAATATATTATTTATAACTATAAGAATATATACAATTTGTTTAAATAAAGATTATTAATAAAGTTTTTGAGATATTGGTGTTGCTAGAATTTGGGATTTGGGATTTGGGATGGCGGACAAATCCCAAACTATAGTAAGTCGGGATTTTGCCAACATGTATACCCTAAACACAGATTGTTAATAGTTACACAAGCATCAACAAAACAAACAAACAAAATGCGTAAATAAGCAAGACAATAAATATGTGCAGCAACAGATTATTCTAGAAAGTTTAAGATCAACAACAATATACGTGTCCTAGTAGACGTTTCTAAAAAAAAACAGGATAGATGATCAAGTCACACAAGTCTAACATAAGTGAGATAGATATTTATGATATGGGACTTTTAGGCCCTGTTATACGACAAGCAGATTTAAGACTGAAATATATCAACTGTGTATTTTTAAACGGATTTTTACAAGAAGCAAGAAAAAGAGAACCAGATGATATAGATCTTATAGCAGCAATCTGCTTAGCAAAAAATTTAGACGAAGAAACATTCAGAATGCTATCATTATTTGGACAAGTAAGAGAAGCACTCTTAGCAGTTAAAGACAACATCCCAGATAAGGTTTTACAGAACTGGTGAGAAAAGGCAATGATGACTAAGCTGAACCCTGGCTCTATCAACTACCTGGCAAGTATGAGCCTAAAGGAAATAACTAGAGAAGAAAACAAGATGGAAATCGTAAAAGAATCCCAGATATATCCTTAATAGGGAAAAAATGCCAATACAGAGAAGGAATAAAAAGTGAAGCAGCAACACAAACTCAAGATGTGGGAATAGACAGCGTACAACAGCAAATACAAGGATTAGAGATAACAGCCAAACAGCAAATGCAAGTTGTAGTTAAACAAGAAGAAATTTTTTTATCTTCAGATGAGGAAAAAGAAAAAAGAAAAACAGGAAAGAAGCACAAGACAAATAACAAAAATCAGAAAGAGAAAAAAACAGAGCAAGATAGAATAGAAATTTATCAAGAACCTCAAGTCACAGCAGAAGCAAGCACAAGCAGACAAAAAAGCTGATTTGAAGATTTAATAATTACAGAAATTCCACTAAGTCAAAGCATGTGGGCGCCAAGCAGAAGACCTTGCAGCAATGTAGAAGAATACAAGGCAAAGATACCAGTATATAATGTACCAAGTGACAATAAAGAACAACGTATCAAAATGGTAGAAGGGATGCTAGCAGGCAACAAATATCTCAAAGAAGTAAAAGAAATTTTTACAAACTATAATAAATGGGTAGAAGTCACTTTTGACTGTGAAACAGGAAGAAAAGAAGCCATGGAAAAAATAGAAAAGAAAAATCGAGAGTGGTTCAGGATGATCCCAATCGAATCATAGCAACCAAAGTGAAGAAACAACACTACCCACAAAAGTTCAACTACAGTTAAATCAAAGAAGACAAAAAAAGGAAGAAGACAGAAAGAAAGTAGAGAAGAATATAGAACAAGTGATTCTTCAGAATCAGAAGATGAAGAATCAAGCACAGAAAAAGAAGAAACAATGACTCTACATACATCACAATATAGGATTTACCAAAAGAGATAAACCAATTGGAAGTGCAACATGCCTGTAATAAACTAGGTGAATTGATAGAAATACAAATCAAAAGAAGCTTCTCCAAAGCACTAGCAATAATAAAGCTGCAGAAAAAACTAAACAAAGCTGTATCTTGGGTAATCCCAATTGGTGACGAAAAGCTAGCAAGAGTTACAGAAGGTATAAAAGACTTCAAAAAGAGAGACAGCCAGAGTAATATAATAGCGAAACTAAGAGGTATACCAAGAGGTACATCAGAAGTACTATTACTTAACAATCTAAGAAACAGAGGAGCCAAGTCAGTCTACATACCACGAAACAGTAATGGCAGACAAAGAGCTTTAGCAATTATAGCTTTTGAATATAAAGAAGACAGAGATCAAGCAACATCAAAGTCGGTAAAATACAATAATTGGCTATTAAAGTAGAAAGCTCCATATACAAGAAGGAAAAATGATACAAACGAAAAAGAAGAAACATACCAAAGAAAAAGAGAAGAAGGAGAGAAAAGTGAAACAGGTGTCAGAAATAACTCAAGAAATAACAAAGAACAAGAATTAAGAAAAGACTACTATGAGGAAACCACAAGGAAAAAAAAAACAAGGACATCAAAAGCAGATCACAATACTGAAGAAGAATTCTCAAAGAAAAGAAGCTTAGAAGAAACTTTAGTAGAGATCTTGAGAAGATTGGAAAACCTAGAGCAGAACCCAAAAAGCAAAGAGAGAGTTGCGAGACACTCCTAAAAGGTGATATAGTTGAATTAAAGAAAGGGGCTGCAGAGAGAAAAACAGCCTAAAAAATGACAAGGGGACGAGGTGGAAAAAATATTTCAACACAAAGAGTTCCTGAGAATTTTAATATATTATCAATAGATTTTTATAATATCAATGGCTTAAAGGCTAATAGAGGAAAATTAGAAAACATTTTAGATTATATGGAAAAAAAAGATATCGATATTATGCGGATAGGAGAGACAAATATATCAGAAAAAGAAGGGAGATTTGCTATTAGAAAAAATAGCATCTATAGCAGCTTTTAGGTATTAGCAGACGAAAATAAGAAAAAAGGGTCAGGAGTTGGCATAATACTAAAGCGCACTTGGGAGAAACATATAGCACAAGTCAACAAATATAGCTCATATCTGTTGGAAGTAACGTTGCGCTTCAAAAGACTATGCATTATACTAATACCGTACAGCACTGCATATAGTATTCCCCTGAAGAAGTATCTCATTAAATAGTACCGGGGTACTATTCAATTATAAATTTTAACATTTTTGAAAAGTACACCAGTATTAATCAAATTTGCCGACGTTTATTTATATATTACAATGAAAACCAGATATATTATAATTTATAAAAAATTATGAAAATATATATAACTTTAAATAAAGCTATGCGATTTTTTAAAAAAATTAATTACGATATTAGTGCCTGCAATTACATAATTAAATTTCTATTATTATATAATAATTAAATTTCTATTTTAATCCTTATCAGCAATAATACTTTCTATATATTGGTAAATTCATTATATTGATAGTTTTTTTTTTAAAAAAAACTAGTTGCACTTTTTAATTTCTAATCATGCTCAATCGTTAATCATCCTATACATTACAATAATTCATTTCTTGTTCGTTATAATAATTGTCACCATCTTCTTCAATATTTTCCTTTTCAACATCTATTTCACCAACGATTGTTTCTTGACTTTCATTAAATGTTTCTTGACTTTCATTAAACGTTTCTTAACTTTCATTAAACGTTTTTTGACTTTCATTTATCATACTCTGATCCTCACTAAACATGCTTTGATCTTCATTAACCATACCTTGATCATTAACTATTTCTTGACTTTCATCATTTAATTGACGATTCTCCAGTCAATTGAAGAATGATCATAGTGAAACATGATGTGGTTCTATATATAAATTACTATAGATGCGAAAATAGAAATTTTCTAGTGATTGTCTAAAGAAAACTTTTTTTTGTACTAAGTTAATCATATTTGAGTCTCTAATTAAAGTTGTAGAGCTCATCGAGACGAATTTAATGGTAGTTAAATCATCCAAATCGGCCTTGTGGATGCCAAGATATCTTTGAAAAACGTTTTGCTATCTATATAAA